AAACAAAAAGAGAACAAGTGGAGGTGGATTTCATAAAGAGGATCTGAGGTTGGATGTAGTGGAAAGTTACTGTGCAGATTCCTGTAATGTTGTTCACCATTAAGCCCACAAGACTGACAGAAATCAGCGTGACATAAACTCAGAACATCTGCGTCGTGATTTATCGCCAAGCGTGACTTATCGTGTTGACAGCAGAGAAACTTCAGGGACAGATGACGCTCTTGGGGGCTTTGGAGGAGAACAGCAAAGACTGTTATTCCACGCTGGCTCTGTGTCGGCTGTGCTGCGCTGATGCAGGACCAGTGCCAAGAGTTGGTTATCTGCAACTGGTTTAAATATTTAAAGGAACGAGTTAAAGAGACATGCATATTTCTCCTCCTAAGCATGGCAGATAAAAACCATATATAAAGTTGTCTCCTTTGTCTTCTGATTATATTACAGCTATTAATAATACATCACTAAACTGTTTCCAGCTGCATTACACTTTGCAAATATGTATACATGCAACCAGGGGGATTTTTACAACTTGACAAGAATTTCCTCTACATGTATATACGGTAGTGCAAAGCAGTACTTTTCAGACTTTTTGTGCCAAAGACACAAAATAGCAAGCCAAAATGTCAACTTACAGCCTGGGCCACAATTTGCTCAACGTAGGTACAATTTAGTTCACTTACTAAAGTCACAAAATGTGCAAATATTAATAAAGTAATCAATTACTCAACATATTAGGATAAATGCATTGGAATATGTGGATGTGGCTACTGCATGTTCCGGCATCAGGCCTTCTTGCTGTGGTTGTGTTGCAGGAGCTCTTATGTGGAGATTGCGGGTCGGCCTGCTTGCTTTTTTTTGTTTGTTTGAATTGTTGGTTTAGTACTATTTTGCACTGCAACATTTGTATAGATTTATACACACTAAAAGTAATATTACGTTCCTGATCCTCATAGTGTAACTCTGTTCTTTGTTGCGCACTACAAGCCAGTCATAACTCTATAAGGGAGTGAGGATGTGCCGAAGGTTAAAGGTCTAGATACTATATGTAAAAATGTCAGAATAAAAAAACTATTCCCATTAGAGTGACAGAACTGTAGGAGTTTTTTTGTGTTCAGCTGACACTATCACTCACTTTTAGTAAACTGACTTAAAGTAAAATGACCTGGGTAAACTTTCTTTTTATTTTTTAACAGCCCTCTGTATCTTTAGCATCATTATTACATCCATACAATATTGATTGTAAATAAGGTTAGCACGTTGTTAAAGCAGGCCATACAAAAGGCGTCATACGTTTTGTTTTTCAGTCTAGATAAATTATTTGAATTGAATTTGAATTGTAAAGACAAAAAAAAAGAAAAAAAGAATACAGACACTCTGGCAACCCGTCGAGAGTTTACCCCACCTCTCTCTGCAAAACAGCCGGGCTCTAGTCCCTCTACAACTCTGGATTGGAGTTAAAGTTAACAAAATGCATGGACTGAATGGGTTAAAACACTGTTGCTTGCTTACAGGCAGCCTACACGAGAAGACTTCTGTGCCTTTATATGAACTGGAAAAACCGAGAAAAGCTGTCAAGTTTTGCTTGTTTTCCTTTAAAGACATGTCTCCAGCTGTACTTTGACACTCCTGCTCTATGGTATGATCAGTTCTTCTGAATCAATCATTAGAACTTACCTGCAATTTTGAATGATGCAACTCCACCTCAGTGTACCTTGCCTCCATCATGCAATCAGACACTTTCACACAACCTAACAAACAGTGTCGCTGCAGCTGCTTCAGGGGCGTTTTGTTGCAACTTCACCTGTGGTTTCCTCAAGTTTATATTTCTTTTTTTCTAAAGAGTTTGTTAGGTGAAATAAGCAGGTGTTGATGGTAGTGATACAGCAAATTTCTATTGATTATATTTTAAATGTACTGAATATTACAAATAAAATGTACTGCACCAGATCATAGACAGAGTACGTATGTGTACTCTGGAGCATAAAGTAATTTAAGATGTTTGTTGTACAACAATCTCACCCTCAAAAACTCATTAAAAGCTCAAAATTACCATGACATCCATGTCTATGAATGTAAACTTCTAATCAAAGCTAAACATCAATTTCTTTTCTGACTGTGATAGTTTCCATTTTCATTGTGTCCTGTGCTCATGTGAAACAGTTTCCATCTTTACCGTCACTGAAAAACCCTGAAACACTCACTTTAAGCTACACAAGAAGAGAAGCTATAATCAGCTTTTGTTGGCAGGTCAGGTCCTTCCTGATCAGCAGCGTCAACAATACAATGAGTGCTGTAACTGATGTGTTTGTTTGGCTTTTTTGGCTCATGTTCATTGCCAAAAAAAGTTTCCACATTACAAAGGGAAAGCAAATCCAGTGAACTTTAATCATCATGTCAGGGTCTTTCTGTTCGAGGGTGCAGCATTGGCTGGCTTCAGCCTTCATGGTGTGACTGTGCCAGTTTTTCTTCCAGCACAGGCAGGCCACTGTCATCAGCTCTGGAAAAAAAAAGCCTGACTAGGCAATGAAACTTGAACTCTCAACTTGAATTCCACTGGACAGCCTGATCGAAGGGTAGCGGACATGACCTCATCTGACCAGCATTCAGTCCTCGTGTGGACTGTGCAGGCTGGTGTTCACAGAAATGGGTTACCCAGAAGGTAATATAAATGTGGGAAGGCCTTGAGTGGAAGTCAATAAATGCTCGATAAGTAAATATGGTGAAGGTTCAGCAGTGGCAGCGCTTATCACTTATCTCTCTCTTTAAAAGTAATCAGAAGTAGAATGAGCCAGAGCTATGATAATTTAGAAAAAAATCAGGCTCTTTCTTAAGCCTACCTGCCACATCGACAACTCATATATATACACATTTAAATATAGTTTTTATAATTCTTGCCCAAGTGGAGTCTTAAACCTTTA